TAAAGCAGTGGTCGCCAACCCGTCGATCGCGATCGACTATAGATCTTTATCACTGTCCCAGATCCCGGAAAAAAAAAACAGTGAAATAAGTACAAAAATGCATTACATTTATGGGGTTATATTAATGTATCAACTGAAGGGAACTGTCTTGAGAAAAGTTTCGATGGCAATGGCATTTTCTTCTCCGTATAAAGCCCAACTTTGATTTGTTTACAGCGGTAAACAAGAAAACGCTATATTGCGGTCGGTTCATAAGCAGTGTTGCCAAGTCCGCGGTTTTCCCGCGGAATTGGGCTACTTAACACTGTTGCCGCGGGTTGTTGTTCATGTCCGCGGGTTGAAGCGACTCCAATAACGTGATATTACATGACAGCTACCTTAGATTTTTTTGCTAAGCTACATGCTGCCTGTGCAGTTTTATGTGTGTTATAAATTCATGAGGAATATCTTTAGATATAAATGGCTGATTATAATGATTTTGGACTCTTTTTAATCAGGAGAATCTGCTCTAACTAATGTTTTTTCACCATCGGAGCGTGTTTTATGAAGTTACAAGCAAAATGGTGAGATCAATATATTCTTTTCATATGGGTCTGGGGTTGACTTCTTGTACAAAAACTCACTCCACTCACTCAATGCAGTGGTTGCCTCTAATTTCAAATGGCTAGATATTTTTGTTTAAAGCCAGTTTGTTTGTTATAAAGCAAATAGCCAATAAATAAATTTGCTTAAAAATCGGTATCAGAATCCAATTTGCTAGTTAAAAAAGAAAAGAAAATCTGAATTCTGAATCAGCTATGATCGGCGCATTACTAATTAAAATACTAAGTAAAAGGCCTCAAATTTGAAGTACAATCTGGGATGTCTTTTTCTATCAATTCTTCAATAGGTAGATCTTGTCTTTCATAAAGGCCGAGGTCAGGGATCTTGGGCCTAAAAAGGTTGGTGACCACTGCTCTAACCTGTACTATGAATTAATAAAGGACTTTGCCTTCAAATAAAAAGTTCAAATTTTCAGCATCAATTCCACACAATTCCAAGCCACTGTGCAGTGCCCAATCCCAATATGCATCTCTGCTGGGAATCTCAGTGTGTCTTTCAACCTCTTACGCCCACTCTGCCCCTTTTCTGCTTCCTTTCCCTTCCTAATGTGCTATTGGGGCATAATGGTTATTGTTGTTGTGGCTATGAAAGTTAATGAGTACCGAGGGTTGCTTGCTTTGTTTCAGGACTTGCCCTGGGACTTCACTCAATCTTTGTAATGGCACTTAGGCCTTACAGTATTGCAGAAACAGCAATGATCTCCTATCCTCAGATAAGAGGATGTATTATGTGGGTGTTTGACTGCATGGGTTTACCCTAACATGAAAATGATCAATAAAATATCAATTTGTGTTATATGACTAATTTGTGTGAGGAACGAAATGTAAAGAATTATGAGCCCTTGGCACATATGCAGCTCCAACTTCCAATAGGCAATACTTAATGGGGTCTTTAAAATGTCAATGTTTTCATCCACTGCACATCCACCTCAAGCATTTATTTGCTTTAGACGAGAACTTCTTACTAAGTGAATTTTTTTAGGCTATTCAAACTGTTATGTGGTGAACCTTTTAGCTTGTCTACAAGCCATTTGAGCCGTAATGAGGTTACGTAATGAGAGGAAATGAGACCAGCTAGTTTATGCTTCAAAGAAACAATCTCAACTGCTCATCATGGCCTTCAATTACTTCAAACTATTTCTTTTTTCGTTGGATGTAAAGCATGTACTCGTCATTGTTGGTAATGAGGGAACACATCTAATACTTGGAAAGTGGCCACCACAGCCATGTTCTTTGCCAAGGGAACTTTTTTTTTTTTTTTTTTTAAGAAAACCTAACTACTTTTCTGAATGTAAATGAGAAAATAAATAAATTAATTAATTAAAATAAAATAAATAAATAAATACGTAAATGAATAAATAGTGTGTAATTTTAATAATTATAAAATTCTAATTTAATATTTTATTACAAATTATTTTATTAATATTGATATTATTTCAAATAAAATTTGACCTTTTGTGCAGAGGACTTTTGTTTTCCAGGTTTAAATTTAATTTTGAATGTCAGATTTTCAGAGTGGACCCCAGTGTATATATCCTCATGGCACAGTTCTTTGTTTATAGGAGCTGTATAATTAGATAAAGAGACTCTGATATTGTGTTTGCCATGCGCTGGAATGAGCAGCATCTGATAGCGGCATGCAGCTGCTGAGATATGGCCCATTAAGAGCAGTTAATCTGAAGAGGGTTCTGAAGTTCAGGCTTGTCTGAGCTCCCTGTCTGGATGCTTCTCATCAGCCCAGGAGGTTACATAGTATCTTTGACCCATTTAAGTAAAATAACCCATAGTAGGCTTACATGCTGGATCGTAATATACTTCGTTTTATACATGTTCCAGGCATAGAAACCTCTAACTGTAAATGTTTTGTAAAAAAAAAAAATCATTTTATCAAAGCATGTATGCAGAGTTCACGTCAGTCTTCAGGCTCGGCGTTCCCAGAAAAACCACTCCTGCATAGATTTGTGTGTGGTGTACTCTTCCCACAAGTGGTCCTGATTTGAACCAAAGGGCCTCACCCAATGAAGAGGCCAAGTGCAAGCTCCTGCTGGGTATACAGTGCCCAACCCTGGGCTGCTCTGATCCAAAAACAACTAAAAAAACCTGTTGGCTTTCTTCCCTCTGTGAAACACCTCGACAGCCACAAATAGCCCCACACTTCATCATCGTGCTCCACGGACCACTTCTCAATCTGATTAGATTACATTTAATTCTATTAGCTAATAGTTATTTTTCATTTCATGCACAGTATGTAATTGTATTTTTTCCTCATTACTTTGCGGAAACAATCATCTCGGTAAAACAATTACATATGTTTTTGTCATCATTTAAATCTCTGAAGTTCAGCGTCCTGTCTAAATGTCTCTTAAAATCACTGTTAGTTTTCATAGGAAAATAGTTGCGTGCTTGGGGATGTTGTGTTTTGTTTTCAGGCATTTAAGACTCTGTTCATTAAACCCAGCTAGCCGTGATGTTTCAAGAATGTGTTATGCGTGCTGGGTCTCTTGCCCAGTCTCATTTTTACAATCGAAAAAACTGAAGCGAAATATGAAGCGGCCCATATGTCTCTCCTTCAATTCACCCGTGCCTCATAAAAAAAAAAAAAAAAAAAAAGA